ATCCCCTCGTCCAGCTGTTCCCCCCCCGCCCGGCGCCGCTCCCGACCCGCCGGCCCCGTCCCAGCGCCGCCCGACCTCAGCCCGCGGGATCAGGCTCGGCCGTAAGTGTCCACGTCCCCAAACGAGCCGCGGGACGTTCACGGGCGCCGCCTCCATCTTGTTCGGGGGGGAGGTTAAATTTGGCAGAGAAATGCAAAGTATGTTGCGCTGACAGACGTAAAGACTCCAGCACCTCGATAAAACCACGAGAGGGAAAAAGAGACGGACGGAGTTTGAAAAAAATCACACAAAACGGTTTTTAAAATGACAAATACACAAACAGTTTAGAGTTATTTTGTTTTTAAAGTCACTCAAAATGGAGTCTGGTGAGGTTTGAGTCATGTTCTAATGATGTTTAATCCTCAGAAACAGACCTGGACTTGTGTTTTGTTTCATTCACACGTGTTTGAACCTGTCGTTTTTAAAGTTTTAGTTTTTTTTCTTTTTACCTTTAGTTCAGTCAAAATCAGAAATTCCAAAAGAGCTGAAATGATCCAGATGATTCTAGTGTGTGGAGTTTCAAAACACAACGGAGCACTTCCTGTATCACCACATGACTAGAGTTTTGCAAAAATATTGAAATATCGATATATTGTATTGTTTAATGTGATGATACAGTATCGATATCGTGAGCTGTTGTATCGATAAAGATTTTTAGGTTTATTTTACTAAATGATTTTGTGTAAGAGCGACAGGTGTGTTGATAGTTTCACAGTTTTGAGTAAAATGCTTTTTGTATTAAACTGAGTGGACTTTTAGTGTCAGAGTCTAACTCATAGTCTCTGTTTTTCACAGAACCATATCGAATCGATATGAAATATATCGTATCGAATTGTATTGAATCGAAAGTGCACTGTATCGAAAAATGTATCGTATCGTGGCCGATGTGTGGAGTCGGGCTGAGTAGCATTAAGAAGTTGTTGATATGATCTATATCTGCATACAGTGCACTTTCAATTCGATACGATATATTTAAAATCGATTCAATAAAAAAATTTAAAGTCTAAATCATGTCTGTGATACTAAAATCTTTGTTAAACCACTTCAGTGGAAACGTCAAACGTGTCACATTAAAGAGTTTCCATCCATGTTCTTCCTCTTCTCTGGGGTCGGGTCTCGGGGGCATCAGTCTAAACAGGGACTCCCAGACTTCCATCACCCCAGACACTTCCTCCAGCTCCTCCAGTGGGACCTGAGGTGTTCCCAGGTCAGTCCAGAGACACAGTCCCTCCAGTGTGTCCTGGGTTTTCCCCCGGGGCCTCCTCCTGGTGGGACATGAACACCTCCTGAGGGACACGTCCAGGACACATCAGAACAGACGCTCGAGTCTCAACTGCTCCTCTCCACGTGGAGGAGCAGCGGCTCTACTCCGAGCTCCTCCCGTGTGACTGAGCTCCTCACTCTGTCTCTGAGGGAGACGCCCAGACGCCCTGTGGAGGAAACTCATTTCGAGCGCTTGTATCTGTGATCTGGTCCTTTCGGTCACTACCCAGAGTCATGACCAGAGGTGAGAGGAGGAACAAGACTGACGGTAAATCGAGAGCTTCGCCTTTCGACTCAGCTCCTCTTCACCACAACGACCGATACAGCGACGACATCACTGCAGACGCTGCACCTGTCCACCTGTCCACCTGTCAGTCTCACGCTCCGCCCTCGCCTCACTCCAGAACAAAACCCCGAGATACTTGAACTCCTCCACCTGAGGCAAACATTAAAGAGTTTCTTTCCTCTAAACAAACAACAAAACTGTAGCTGTAACAGAATCAACCAAAAAATACTCTTGGTGTTTTTATCAATATATCGATACAGCAGCTCATGATATCGATACTATATCATCACATTAAACGATAAATATTTGTGCACACCCCTGGTATCGAGGTGTGTATTGTATCGGCAACTTCTTAATGATACTCGGCCCTAAACATGACATCACAAGGTGGAACAGAACAGTGTTGGGGTTTTTTTCAGTTTGAGAGAAGAACTCAGTGTAAATGTTTGGGTTTGTGAGTTAAACATGTGTGAATGAAACAAAAAAACACAACTCCAGGTCTGTTTGTGCCGAGAAAACAACATTAAATATCGAACTATTATCTCTTTAACAGTGTCTTTTCTACTTTTCTACTTTTCTCCCGCCAGCGTCACGTTGTTCTCTTCTGACTTCCACGAGTTAAACTTGTCCAGACTTGAAGCGTGACCAGAAATATTTCTCAAATGGGTTGCCAGGTCAGAAGTTTTCAGGTCAGCGCTCGAGTCTGAGTTAAAGTTGTGAGCGGATGCAGTGAGCTCAGAGGCAGTGCCCCACATAACACCACCCACCACCACCAACAGAAACGCCACAAACACCAAACCTGCCAAACCTGCCGCTGATCTGACCGCCCCCGTCTGTTTAAAGACACACTGCGGAACATTAGGATCAGATATGACGATAAAAATGTTATTGCACAAAAACTCTTTCTTTCCGTGAGTGCGCTCGCTTCTCCAAAAACCCGACTCTAAGTCTACGTTCAGACTGCAGGGCTTAACGCTCGATTCCGATTTTTTTGTAAAATCCGATGTTTTTTCGAGGTCGTTCACATTTCCAATTAAATGCGACTTGTCTGTGACTCCAGTGTGAAGGTAAACGGCCCGAAAGTGTCCCACATGTGACACTGGAGACACGACGACGTCAACCCCATGCGTCAACCGCAGCGAGCGTGTGTGTGTTTACGGAAGTTGTTCAAATATGGTCGCGAGCATTGAGCACCTGGAGATTTTACAGTTTCGGTTTCTGCCTGCATCAGCGCAGAATAGTGACGTTTGTGTTGTCAGCTTCTTCTGGAGGGGCCTGAAAAGAGCCTTAAAAGAGAGTCCAGAAGGGTTAAAGGTGTTCAGAAACATGTCTCTTTATTTGGCTCACACAGGTACAGATCTCTTGATTCAAGTTGATTCACACAGCATCTCTCCACGTCACCTCTCCTAGTACAAGAAGAGCTGACAGCTTTATACTGACCATCTCGTCACAATATTGACAAACTGTAACTGGTATTTACAGGAAATTCACAGACATGTTGACCTAGACAGTGTAACACAGATAATCATATGTTAAAGAGTTCAGACACTCCCCCTTTATGTCTCATATACATCAGAAAGTCCATCATAACATGTCCCCAACTCATTGACATTTTAAAGTTCAGACACTGACTTCTCTTTATGACACATGTACAAGAACATTGAACCCTTCCACATTGCATGGTGAATTAACATAAATGAAAAACTAAAAATACAGAAATTAATTCCCACAGTGTCTTGTTGATAACGTGTAGGTGGATGAATGCACTTTGGCCGTTCAGACTGAAGTCACATGTCAAAAGATCAGATATGTGTCAGTTTCAGGAGCAAATATCCAAGTGTCCTGGATCTGTGTGGTTCAGACGTCATTAAAAGATCAGATACAGGAACACAGAGACAAAAAATCAGATTTGGGTCACTTCAGGCTGCAGTCTGAACGCAGCCTTATTTGTTCTGGAGGCGGAGTGCTCCTGCTTTTTTCCATGGAAATCTTGCTCCTTTGGCTGTAATGTTCCACAGTGTGGCATTAAACGTACTGTATCTATCTCCACGAAGAACGTTCCGAAGTTTAGTTTTAACTTTCTATTTCTTCTACGTTTGCTCTGCGGATGTTTGAAAGACGTTTAATTCGCCGTCAGCGGTTCTTTTCACTCAGAATATGAAAAAGACATTTTCCTTCTTCCGTGTTTCTATTTGTGCGTCCGATAATGCAGCAGGAGTTTAATATTATCGGGGATAAATACGCGAGGTTTACGTACTGTGTTTGACGCTACCGTGTTTCTTGCCTCTGACCAAAATATTTCCCAGCAGCAACGCGGGCTTTTAATAACAACGACGTCATCTGAAACTCACCTGTACAGTAAACAAAACAGGATGGTTGGACCAGACTGATTTAAAGGTTGTATAGAGGATTTTTTTAAGGGAAGAGAAATACAGCGACAGTCCTTGTGCGCGTTCAGAATCACTGTTGAAGTTTCCTGTCTAGAAGTAATTCAGCGACCGACGCGTCAGTTTTTAGACCCTTCGTCTGCTTCGGTCGCGCCATCGCTGGACGAGATCTCCAAGAATCACCTCAGTTTGGCTTTGCTACTTTTCCACTTCTCTTCTTCTTTCAGCGACCTCAAAAACGGACTTTCTTTTGCGGTGAACCGGTCGTGGATTCTCGTCCGCCGTCGCGACAAACTTTGTGCGAAATGCGAGGAAGCGACAGTTCGAAAAAGCCTCTAAGAACCGCTGCGTAAACCACGTAATCCCCGCGCTCCGACGAGTCAGTTACACTAGGGAGTTTGATTGACAACCTAACAGCCAATAGAAAATGAGGGAGCCTCGTTTTCTATTGGCTGATGTTTATCTGGCCTCAACACGTCCACAGTTGATAGATTTTTGTTCTTTTTTTTTTTTGGTCATCATAATTACAAAGCTGCTGCGTCTCTGTAATGGTATTTTAATCTTTCACTGACAGTTTGAAAATAAAAAAAATCCTCCATACAACCTTTAACTCTGGATAAAAATAACGCTAATAATTTTGGTATTTTTCTTCTATAAAAATCTAAAAACATGTCAACTTTTTTTCCAGGAATCAGGAGAAATCTGAAGACCGTAGACCAGGTCGTCCGTCAGTCCTCCTCACGACCTCAGTCCAAGTCCTGAGTCCAGTCCAGAGTCGTGTCCAGAGTCCAGACCGGAGCCCGTTGCCATGGAGAGGGTGCAGCACATGACCAAGTCTGCGATCCGGAGAGCGTCTCAGATCGAGGTGAACCCCCAGGCCAAGAGGAACCTCCAGGAGCTCTTCGTCAACTTCACCCTGATCCTCATCTGCCTCCTGCTCATCTACATCATCGTCCTCCTCAGCAGCTGAAGAGCGCGCGGGCTAACGCTACGAGCTAACGCTAAGCTAACGCTACGAGCTAACGCTAACGCTACAGGCTAACCTTTGAAATCGAGTAAACATGTTGATATTTCGATGGTTTGGGAGTCGAAAAACACACTTAAAACACAACTTAAATTAGCTCTGACCTTGAATCATGTTTAAAGAGAAAAATATTAGTTTAATTACCGTTTAAATCTTTTATTTTTACTGTAAAAGAGCGGCTAAATTAACGACTAGCACGCGCCACAGACCAGTGTTTCCCAAACTGTTTTTCTGGGGACCCATATTTTAAAAGCTACAAACTTTCACGACCCAAGTCCAGAGAAATTATTCGTAAATCACAAAATAAAGAACATTACTGAGGATATTTTATTGTTGACTCAAGTTTAAATAATGAAAAACACTCACTGAAGCAGCAATAAGTCGCCTATTTGGACTTTAAATGTGGCCCGTTTATTTTTCTTTTCAACATTCAATTGAAGCAGCAAAACTGGAACAAAATAATCAATAAAATAATGACAAAAAGATTAGAAATGATCCAAAACATGTCTTAAGATTTCAGCTTTTCTAGTGAGACGGGAGGTGTTCCTGTCTGGGTTTTTGTATCTTGTTCCAGACCCCAAAAAAATCTCTTTGGGAAACAGTGTCACAGACTGTATACGTGAGTGGACAAAGCTAAACCATCATGGGCGTGTTTCCGGCTCCACCGACTCTAGCTCCAATTGACTTCACATTGAAAAAAACGCGGCTCCTCTCTCGGTAACTGTCGCCGCGAGCTTCGTCGTTTTGGTCTTAAAATGTTGGCGTTAACCCGCTCTACATGCTCCTCGGGTTTTTTATTCAATAATTTTGTTCGTAAATAAAGATATGAACATTAATAACAGACAAATCAGACGCCTGCTTTCCCCCGAGGTCGTTCCTGATTGGCTCTTTGGTTGCTTTGATTCTCTCAAATATAAAACTCAGAAATTTACTCCTATAACTGCCAGCCTCGATGAGCTTCATTTGACTGGAGCCGAACGCTGTGGTGACGTCAAAGGAGCCGAGTCCACTTCTTTATACAGTCTGTCTTGGTCTTGGTAATTGATATTAAATATATATATATTTTATATTTATAATAGACTCTACTCACGCTTACGTCACAAATCAGGAAGAAGTTTGGAATCATGTGACGCCGACTTCCTTCGAGCTCTATTCGCCGTCGTAAGTCTGACAAAATCTAGTAAAAATGAGAGAATGTCCCAGATGTCCGAGTGCACTGGTTCATGTGTTTAGAAAAGACGAGACGCCAAATTCTAGTTGATTCCAAACAGCACAAACACACTTTTACGTCACTGGAAATCGTCGTCGTCGCGTGTTTCCGAACGTCGTCCCGGTTTGTGACGTAAACGTGAGCAGAGTCCACTTCAGGTGCTTCTTAAGAATCGACACCAAAATGACAGAAAGTTGAAAACTGAAGGTGCAAGAAACACAAGTGTTTAAATAATAATCTAGTGTAATATTGTCGAGGTGAACCAGCTGATATAGAGAGACAATACAGAACGTACATACATATCTGCATTAATATGTCGTGGTATAGATAAACACGGTGTCCACACGTCCCTGTTCACCCGGGACAGTCCCAGTCCTCAGTCCTGTGCCCCCGTCCCTGCAGATTTACACAAAACCAAGAAATGTCCCCAATGTCTCTGTTTTGGACCAATCTGATCCCAGTAAAAACAGGAGGTGTAACAAAGAAAACTCACAGTTCAGTTCATTTTTGGTTCAGTTTGGGAACAAAAACCGTTTGCGTGTTGTTTATTTGAGTTTTTATTAAACCAACAATTTGTTTCAACATGAAATAAACAGTAAAATAAAATTAATGGAAAGTGCTGATTGGTAAAACTAATAAGTTCAATAAAATATTCTCAAATAAGCAACAAATATAAAAAAAATGTATTCCTTGTAAACAGTAAACAAAACTTTTCAAAAAGTAAAGTGCAGCACAAACTAAACCAGAACTAAAACTAAAACTAAAAATTCCAGCATGAACTTTTACTCAATCTTCAGATTTTTGGCCAGAAAACTGCAGTGGAGCAGATCTGGTTGGGAGGGACGAGGTCGAGTCGGGGGATCATAGTTTTGAAGACGTGGCTCTAAATATAAAACCTGCAGGAAACTCTTCCCCATCACAGATGAATTCTCCCGTGAAGATTAAAGAGTCGAGTCTCGTGAAGCTGCACATGTAAACAAACATGAACTGCACCAAACCAAACGTCCTGAACCACAAACACATGAACCGTTACACGTCCAGTAAAGAGACGCAGAAGAGAGTCAAGAAAAAACCACCAAAACACAAAGACAATGTGACTATAGGCGAGTTTCACTGTTGACAAAAGCGCGTGTTGCATGATGGGAATTATTTTGTTCGGCGGCAAGAAACACTAATTGAACATGACGGACGGAGCGAGAAAACACGTAAAGGTATTGATCCTGGTTATTTATCCACTCGAACGGCAGACGACCCAAGACCATTTGACCAGAAATTGATCATAAACATCGACAGACGACAAATCACCTTTTCAACCCCGACAAAAGTGAAACCAAACCACATCAGAATCTCCAACTCCCTGGACAAATATTCACTTTGGCGACATCCACGATGACCAGTGTTGGAGAGTAACAGATTACATGTACCAGAGTAATCAGAGTACAAATGATGAGTAACTGTATTCAGTTACAGTTACTGTTTCCGTGAGTGGTAATTGGATTACAGTTACTTTGTTGAAATAAATGGATTAAACAGAGGGATTTTACTGTTTTGGCGTTTTGGGCTAAATCCCCCTTTTTTTTCGGTAATTCCACTCATTGCCGGAAACTAAACCAGGACTAAACCAGGTCTAAACTAGATCTAAACCAGGACTAAACCAGGACTAAACCAGGACTAACCAGGACTAAACCAGGACTAAACCAGGTCTAAAACTAGATCTAAACCAGGACTAAACCAGGATTAAACCAGGTCTAAACCAGGACTAAACCAGGACTAAAACAAGGACTAAACCAGGACTAAACTAGATCTAAACCAGGTCTAAACCAGGACTAAACCAAGGTCTAAACCAGGAACTAAAACAAAACCAGGACTAAACCAGGACTAAACCAGGCTAAACCAGGACTAAACCAGGACTAAACCAGGACTAAAACAGGACTAAACCAGGATCTAAACCAGGTCTAAACTAAACTTTACGAAAAAGACATTTTCCTTCTTCCGTGCTTCTATTTGTGCAGCAGGAGTTTAACATCATCAAGGATAAATACGTGAGGTTTACACTCTGTGTTTGACGCTACCGTGTTTCAGCCTCCGACCAAAATATTTCCCAGCAGCAACGCGGGCTTTAATAACAATGACGTCATCTGAAACTCGCCTGTACTCAGTCGTGTCAGTCACCAATGCAAATCAGTTTTCTTTAATTAAACTCGTCTCATCATTTGATTTTGACCGAGCGCCACAGACCGAGAGTTTCCCAGATTCTGACGTTGTAAATGTGGTGAGAATAACTGGAGCTGGAGCCGGAGCTGGAGCCGGAGCCGGAGCCGGAGCCGGAGCCGGAGCCGGAGCCGGAGCCGGAGCCGGAGCTCAGGCACACGTCTCCCCTCCTCAGATGAAGCTCTTCACCGGGTTAAATATAAACGGTGTCAGATAAAATAAACATGTGGACAGAAGTGGGATTGTGCAGAGTCGAACCGCGATTAAACACGACGAGCGGAGGAAACAGAAACTCCACAGCTGAAAAACGACTTCCACCTGCCACACGGACTCAAGGACTGAACCAGGACTGAACCAGGACTGAACCAGGACTAAAACAGGACTAAACAGGACTAAAACAAGACTGAACCAGGACTGAACCAGGACTGAACCAGGACTAAACCAGGACTAAAAAAACAAGACTGAACAGGACTGAACCAGGACTAAAAACAACAGGACTAAACACAGGACTGAAACCAGGACTGAACCAGGACTAAACCAGGACTAAAACAGGACTGAACCAGGACTAAACCAGGACTAAAACAAGACTGAACCAGGACTGAACCAGGACTGAACCAGGACTAAAACAGGACTGAACCAGGACTGAACCAGGACTGAACCAGGACTAAAACAAGACTGAACCAGGACTGAACCAGGACTAAAACAAGGACTGAACAGGACTAAACCAGGAACTAAAACAGGACTGAACCAGGACTGACCAGGACTAAAACCAGGACTAAACCAGGACTGAACCAAGGACTAAAACAGGACTGAACCAGGACTGAAACCAGGACTGAACAGGACTAAACCAGGACTGAACCAGGACTAAACAGGACTGAACCAGGACTAAACTAAGACTGAACCAGGACTGAAACCAGGACTAAAACAAGACTGAACCAGGACTGAACAGGACTGAACCAGGACTAAACCAGGACTAAAACAAGACTGAACCAGGACTGAACCAGGACTGAAACCAGGACTAAACCAGGAACTGAACAGGACTGAACCAGGAACAGGACTAAACCAGGACTGAACCAGGACTGAACCAGGACTGAACCAGGACTAAAACAGGACTGAACCAGGACTAAAACAGGACTAAACCAGGACTAAACCAGGACTAAACCAGGACTGAACCAGGACTAAAACAGGACTGAACCAGGACTGAAACAGGACTGAACCAGGACTAAAACAAGGACTGAACCAGGACTAAAACAGGACTAAACCAGGACTGAACCAGGAAAAAAGACTGAACCAGGACTGAACCAGGACTAAAACAAGACTGAACCAGGACTGAAACAGGACTAAAACAGGACTAAAACAAGACTAAACCAGGACTAAACAGGACTAAACCAGGACTGAACCAGGACTAAACCAGGACTGACTAAACCAGGACTAAACCAGGACTAGACCAGGACTAAATCTAAACTGGACGTCTCAAATTTAAATCATAAACTTTGACATAAAGCTTCATTGTGTAACTTTCTGTTGGTGGAAATGAACCTGTTTGAAGTTAAAGCCACACTACGGAACATTCTCCACAATGTGTTTTATGTCATAATGTGGAATCGTTGAGGCAGAAGAATAATGTTTCCATATTAGTTCACACATTAGTCCTGTAGTAGTGAGAGTGAGGTCTGTGGAGAGGCGAGCTCACTGTTTGTCATTCAGAATTATCATGAAAAAACACACTTCTATTTGAGTTTGTTTGGCAGAAAAGTTACACACTGTGGCTTTAAAGGTGTAACTTTCCTGGAAGAGTCGGGGCCGCCTCCATAAAACACAAACACTAAAAAAATTAAAATCATAAAAACGTTTAAAATACATAAAAATAAATAAAACTCAATCATATTTCAAGGTTGAGTTCGTTTTAAATGAGAATTTGATGAGGAATCGTTCATTTCGATCTGATTCTTTGGCCTTGAATGTTCCACAGAACGGCATTAAACTGACCCGTCTCCATGGAAACGAGCAGGCGACGCCCCCGAGCCAGTAAAGTCACGGGTTATATCTGTGGAAAGGCGAGCCTGGCCACAGTAAAACCCCGATCACACGAGATCAGTTTGGTGATTCGTCGTAACTGCGGAGGAACCAGAGAACTTCATCCAGAACAAACGCGACGTGTTTGGAATTTGTAAAGTTAAAAAATCGATGCAGTTCAGTAAAAATAAAATCTAAATCAAGTCTGTGACGCTAAAAGTCTTTGTTAAACCACTTCTTCTCGTGCAAAGTTAAAAACGAAACACAAACATTTTAATCGTCAAAAAAAAACAGCGAAAACGTCAAATGTTTCGCATAAACGAGTTTCCACAAAACTGTAGCTGGAACTAAATAATTTAATAAAATAAACAAAACAAAAAAAAAAATCCTCTTGGCGATATATCGATACAGCAGCCGACGATACCGATACTGTATCATCACATTAAACGACACCATATATCGATATTTTGATATTTTCACACACTCCTGAAGCCAAAATCTACCTTTAAATCCTGTATTTTCGTTTTCAGCGCAGTCGCCTCTCCACAGATCTGACCTGTCACTTCACCTCTATGCATCGCCTGCTTGTTTGCTGCGGAAATATAATCACAGAAAATGTAAAAAATTCCGAGTAAAACGAGCAGCTGTCAGACTCTCCTGCGGTAAAGTTACGCAGTGCAGCTTTAAAATTCAAACCGTCTCTAAATAAATAAATAAAAAAGGCATTAAATAATAATAAATAATCTTTAACTGTTATAAAGTCCTAAAACCAGTTAAAAATATAACAGAATATTTAAAAAAAGCACAATTACTCCAGTGTTACGTTACAAATCCTGTTGTGTGGCGCCCTCTGGTGGTCAATCTTCAGACGTACAGGCCTAAAAAGTGCAATAATTTTTAACATTTTCGCGGTAAAACGTCGGCTTTTTTACCCCTTTTACATTTCGTAGAGCTGCCAGACTTTAAGCATCGACGGATATTTTGTGAATTGTTTAAAATCCTGGAAACGTTTTTAAAAATGAAGTAAAAATATGTTTGTGTCTAAATGTTGTTTTCGTTTGCGCTTTTCACTTTTGCATGGTTTTGAAGAAATGTCTGCGTAGTAAAGAAACGTGTATAAACGGATAAATGCACTGAACATTGATTGTGTTTTTAGTTTGAAATGATAAACGTCACGTCCAAAAACACCGAGGTTTGGTTTGGTTGTTTGTTCGTCTGTAAACGTTTGTTGTTTTAAACTGTTTAAAAGTCTGAAAGTCTTTAAATAAAACTGCACGTCTATAAATAAAAGTCTGAAAGTTCATGGTTTTATTTGTTTTATGACGTTTATGGGAAAATAAAATGTACACAGTGTGAGACCTGGTTTAGTCCTGGTTTAGTCCTGGTTTAGTTTAGACCTGGTTTAGACCTGGTTTAGACCTGGTTTTAGACCTGTTTAGACCTGGTTTAGACCTGGTTTTGACCTGGTTTTAATCCTGATTTAGTCCTGGTTTAGTCCTGATTTAGACCTGGTTTAGACCTGGTTTAGTCCTGGTTTTAGACCTGGTTTACCTGGTTTAGTCCTGGTTTAGTCCTGGTTTACCTGGTTTAGACCTGGTTTAGACCTGTTTAGTCCTGGTTTAGTCCTGGTTTACCTGGTTTAGTCCTGGTTTAGACCTGGTTTAGTCCTGGTTTAGTTCCTGGTTTAGTCCTGGTTTAGACCTGGTTTAGTCCTGTTTTAGTCCTGGTTTAGACCTGGTTTAGTCCTGTGTTTTAGTCCTGGTTTAGACCTGGTTTTAGACCTGGTTTAGACCTGGTTTACCTGGTTTCCTGGTTTAGACCTGGTTTAGACCTGGTTTAGACCTGGTTTAAGTCCTGTTTTAGTCCTGGTTTAGTCCTGTTTTAGTCCTGGTTTAGACCTGGTTTTAGACCTGTTTTGTTTAGTCCTGGTTTAGACCTGGTTTAGACCTGGTTTAGTCCTGTTTTAGTCCTGGTTTTAGTTTAGTCCTGGTTTAGTCCTGGTTTAGTCCTGGTTTAGACCTGGTTTAGTCCTGGTTTAGTCCTGGTTTAGACCTGGTTTAGACCTGGTTTAGTCCTGGTTTAGTCCTGGTTTAGTCCTGGTTTAGACCTGGTTTAGTCCTGGTTTAGTCCTGTCCTTTTAGTCCTGGTTTAGACCTGGTTTAGTCCTGGTTTAGTCCTGGTTTAGACCTGGTTTAGTCCTGTTTTAGTCCTGGTTTTACCTGGTTTAGACCTGGTTTAGACCTGGTTTAGTCCTGGTTTTAGACCTGGTTTAGTTTAGTCCTGGTTTAGTCCTGGTTTAGACCTGGTTTAGACCTGGTTTTAGTCCTGTTTTAGTCCTGGTTTTAGACCTGGTTTAGTTTAGTCCTGGTTTAGTCCGTCCTGGTTTAGACCTGGTTTAGACCTGGTTTAGACCT